AGCTGGCTCCGGGGAGCCTGGGCTCTGCCACTCCTCCCACAAGCTGAATGCCAGAAATTTATGGTGACTTTAAAAAATACAAAGAAGAGACTCCATGTGGGGACAGGAAGGGGGCTGGGGGGGGAGAGATGTTTTATTGACTTCCCCTTAATTGCTGTAATTAAAAACACGTAAAGAATCTTTTTTTAACGACGTTGCCATTATCATTAGTTGTTAGCACAGCTGCCTTATTAATTTCTCATTAGAACCCAATTCATGGGCCCTCTCTGGGAAGGCACCAGCTGGGGGTAGGGCCTGACGGCTCCCTGGAAAGGGGCACAGAGGGCAGCAGCCACCAGAGGACCTGCTGCCTTGAGCCCCAGGACAAAACCTGTCCTCCCCGGGAGGTGGACGCAGCCAAGTAGGCCACAGCCAGGGGTCTGGGAGAAGTAGCCCCACCCCGCCCATCTCAGAGCATGTGCGTCTGTGCAAGAGGATGGGTGGATAGAGACAGATGCAGAGGCCTGGGAGAACCCCAGGACAGGGAAAGGGTGAGGTGAGCCGGGTACTCGTTCTCAGGGTGTGCAATCAAGGGGTCAGCCTCCTTGAACTGGGCTCCTTGGTGCCTGACCTGCCTCTCCAGTCTCAGCCTTGCCAAGTGGAGGGGTGGCTGGGATGTCCCTACTTGGGCAGACAGAGTGACATAAGGTTCCAGGTCACCCTTCCTGGCTCACTTCTTAGAGAGAGGAAAGTCTGCTCTCGCATGCGTCCATCCCGTCTGGGAAGCATTTTCGACTGTTTGTGTGCATTGATCCATGGATCCTTGCAACTGCCCAGCCAAGCTGGCATTAACAGCAGCATTTCCTCTTATACACCGGGACATGAAGCTACAGAGGAGTTAAGTAACACAGAAGTTGAGGTCACACAGCTTTAAGATGTGGCATTGAACCGGGGCTCAAGGTTGGTTCATGTCTATGCCCTACTAGGAAGATGAAGGCAGAAGGCCAGAAATCCGGGGGCGGGGGGAGCCTTGGGCTGTCCTCTAACCTCTCTGAGCCTCAGTTTCCCCGTGACTTGTGGCTCGTAGGACATACCTCCCAAGCTCTCCGACCTGCCTTGGGAGCCCACTGAGGAAAGATGTTCACCCAATAACACCAGAGGAAGGATCCTTCTGGAGATTCCTGCCCAGGGCTGGCTCTGGCCTCCTGTGTCGGGCCCATGGTCCTGGCCCTGATGGCCACCTTCACCTTATTAACACCAGAAAGTGTTAACACGGATCTTATCTTACAGTCCCAGACACTGAGGCCTGAGAGGAAGAGATGTACCCAGGGTCCTCAGTGGAGCTCAGACTCACCCCTTCTGACCCCATCCCCACAGCATGGCCAATAGTTATTCAAGACAGAAGGGTCCTGACCTGGCACACCAAAGAGCCCAGGCAGAGAGCAGTGAAAAATCATGTGACAGGCGACCACCCCAGCCACAGGCACCACCACAGGCATCCCTGGGAGGGATGGCGTCTCTGTGTGGGACACTACAGCCCGGGGGTGGCTGGGATGCATCAGAACCTGACCCAGCAGGTGCCCTTCTCCCACACCCCACGCTGGGTTTACTTTCCTTAGGCTCAGGCAGCACTGGGGCTGTCTGGCAGTTGGGCAATCGTGGGTTCAAATCCTGGTTTTGATGCTTGAGACTTGGGTAAGTTACGGCCCCTGCTGGGCCTCGGTTTCCTCATCTACAACACGGGGATAGGGTCTCCTCTCTTCAGGCGGGATGACCACCGAGGAATGGCGTGTGCTGCCCAGAGAGTGGTGAGGGTGAGCTGCTCTAGCCAGATCTCATCTTTCCCTGCACCCTGAATTCCTGGGAGCCTTGGACGGTGGAAGCCTCACCTCCCTCAACTAGAGAAAGAGAGAGACCACCCCCCAAACGAGACAAGTGCAAGGCCACAGAGGGGCCTGGGGAGGTGCCCCACCATGGCCATCAGGGCTGGCAAAAACCTGTAGCTTGTTGGGCTGACAGTTCTTCTCCGGGGCCAGCAGAAGCTCCCAAGGCTCCCTGGCTTTAGGGCTCCATGGGCTGCAGGCAGGAGCTTCCATTTTAGGGGACCCTGAAGGAAAGCCGGGTGCTGTAGCAGGTGCTCAGTACTGGTCTGGGGGAGCAGCAGCCAGCTGGTGGCTCGGATCTGGCTAACGTGAGCCTCCCCTTGACTCTGCCTTCCACCCCTCCAAGGTGTCCTGCTGCTCTGCCTGGGGCCGGTGACACATGTGTACATCTTAGCAGCAGCAGCACAGGAGAAGGTGGTGGGGACATGGTGACAGTCGTGGTCAAAGCCCTGTCTAGGATACACCTGAAGCTTTGAGAAGGTAGAGTGGCAGGGTAGGAGTCCCGCCGTGTGAGGTGGCAGAGGCCCTGGAAAGGCAGCCAGCTCCATGATCTGCATTTGGCCAGGGCAGCTCTTGCCGGAGGCCACTGCTTTCTGTGGTCTGCTTTTATTTTTCCTTAAGAGGAGGCCATTGAATAGCAATCGCAGCAGCGAGTCCCAGGGATTCAGGGGGGACTGTAGGCAGGACTTTGGCACATGAGCTCAGGGAATCTTTGGGGTGTGCCTAAGAAGTAGGAATGATTAAGTGAATTCTAAGGTGAGACACTGGAGCTGGTGAGAGGCTCAGAGGTCCAGCTGCTTCCTGGGGTCACAAAGAAATCAAGGACAGATGCAGGATTTTAATGTGATCCGCATCTCAAGACCACGCTCCTTGTTAGGCCACACTGCCTCCTATGGTGCTGGGCCCACAGCCTGCCAACTGGATCTCAGCCACTTCAGAGTGCCCAGGCTCCCACATGTCATCGACCTGGGGTCATCCCTGCCAGCACCGCCAGAGGGTTTGGAGGCCTCTGGAAACTGCAATGAGCAGGAGAGGAGCTGAGGGTGACCCCATGGCAGGGGTCTGTACCTGGGCAGAAGGTGAGGGCGTCGGGCAGCACAGATCCCCTCCCATCTATTTCCCAGGCTGGGCGTCCCTGGAGGGCAGGGCAGAGTGATCTGGACTCTTCTCTGCAGCAGCCAGGAGGTGCCAGATACCCCTGGGTCCTTACCAAAGTCTTTCTGCCCACAGCAGGTGCACCTGGCCTGCTGGGCCTACAGAGGGGTCTAGTTCCACTGCCTCCCCAGCTTGAGGGCAAGAGGATCCCTGTGGCCTGGGGGCAGTGACCATGCACAGTCAGGCCTGGTTTGGAGGGAGGACCTGCCATCCTGGTTTGTGTGTATGTGAGCAGAGGTGTGTAATGCAGTGCTCTTGGACCCCCTCACAACCAAGGAAAGAAGCATTTCAGCCACACGGGCACTGACCATCTGTCACCAGCACAGCCAGCCCGGGGAGACTGTGTCATTTCATCTCAGGGGCTCGCCAGAAAGTTCCTGCTGTCTCCTCTGAAGCAAGGGCTTTGGCAGAGTCCCCACCCTTCACCCCACAGCCTGCACTGAATGGTGTCCTGGATGGTGTTTCTGACTGCATGTGTGCACCTGCGTGTACACCCACACATATGTTCTCTCCTGCACACACGTGAGTAAAGAGCACACCAACCCTGATGTGAAGGACCATACAGATGTGTGTGTACGCACACTTGTAAGCACACACTGCACAGAAACATGCACATGCTTGCACACACACAGGTATGCAATGCGTGGGCACACTTGCACACACATGTGCTTTCAGACAGCTGACTAGAGAAGCAGACTGGCTGAGGCGCACACACCCATGTGCACACACTTGCACACATATGGAAAAAGGCAGACTGACTGCAGTACGCGTGCATGTGCCCTGGGCGCACACACTCCCACGCCTGCCAGTGAGCTGCAGCCCCCCCCCCCCTCCCGCCTCCTGGACTCTCTGGGTGGAGGCCGCGCTGCCTGGCTGCGGATTTACCAGGCGAGCGCCCTCCACTTTTGATGAGGGCGGTTTTCCATAATCATCACAAACACTCTGCCTCACTTCAGGTTTTCTTGCAGATCTCTCCTGCTCCTCTCTGCCTAGCAAGCTCTTGCCTGTGTTAACTCAGGGGCTGTCCCCGGGGCTCCGAGGAGACGACGTCCTATCCTCATTTACATTTCAGGACTCACTAAGGATTCCCACGCCCACACCCACAGTGCGACCTCTTGCCCTGTCCCTGGAAGACCAGGCTGGGGCAGCCGTGCTGTGCCTCATCTGCAGCCTGCTGGGGTGTCCAGGAAGGGCGCAGCTCTGGGAGGGGCCGTGGGTGAGGCCCGGGTCTCTGCCCTCAGTGGGTCCCTCTGGTGCCATCCCCCTTTCCTACCTGACGAAGCCTTCCTGGGCTGGAGGTACGGGGAAGGCCGTCACTCCAAAGGCTCAGCGAGGGCCTGGCGTTCTACGCTCCGTCGCCTGGCCCTCTGGGAGCCCCGACTCGTCACCCCCTCCCTCCTGGAGCTCTGGTTCCCCCACTGAGGCACCTCCCAGTGGCCCCTGAAGATCATGGGGCTCCCCAGGCTGTTTGCTCCAGGGCTGAGTGGGCTGCAGGACGGGAAGGTCAAGGTCCTGGAGGCCCCAGGAAGTCTGAGAGTCACAGCTGTGAGGTTCAGGGCGGCCACCTGAAGAGCCCCTGCCCCACCAGGAAGGAGTGTCCTGGAGGAGCCCCTCAGAAATGGTGGCAAGGCCATCTTCTAAGAAACCAAGAGGCTGCCCCTGTTTAAGGAGCATGAAGGAGCCCACTCTTCTGGAAGGAGCACAGGGAGCTCATGACTCTCTGGCCATGTCCTCAGGGTCACAGAGCCGGCAGATGCATGAGGGACACTGATTGGCTGTGACCTTGGGAGCTCCCACCCTGTCTCAGAGCTTCTCCTACCAACTGTAAAAGGGGCTTGGCCCAGAATGGGAAGCCCCCCACCCCGCCCCACCGTGCCGCAGGTGCGGAAGGCCACACTGGCTTTGGCTCTGCCTGGAGTGGGACTGCTGGGTGTGGACCTGCAGACCCTCTCCTGTCCCCACCCCATTCCCCACTGTACTCACAGGCCACCTGGACCTCCGTTTGCCGCTGCAGCAGGGCCCCCATCCGGTTCCGCACGATGCAGCGGTAGAAGCCAGCGTGGGTGCGGTCCAGGCTGGTGATCATGTACCTAGGGACAGACAAGATGGCCCGTGAGTAAGTCAGGTAGCTGCAGGGGTCAGAGGTCAGACCAGGCTCAGGGGTCAGAGATCACCTCTTTCTGGAGGCAGGGCTTCAGGGAGCTCTTGACTCCCAGGCTCTGTCATGGGATCACGGAAAGGTCCTGATCAACAGGGTGGTCACAGGTCACAGCCTGCACTTCCCCAGGGGTGGCAGGTGCTGGGCTTGAGTCCTTGACCCAACCCACAGCCTGGCCTCCTATGGCCACCTCAGTTCTCCTGGAGGCCAGTCTTCCCGGCCCGTGACTCCCATGACGGAGAAAGGTGAGGGCATTCGGTTTTGGCCAGGCATAGGGCTGTAAATATTAATCGGCATGGATGGAGGTGACGGAAGCAGAGAAATTCACGTTTCACCAAATGCTCTGCGTCAGTCCTTCTTTGGGATGCAGGCAGCTCCCCTGTGGCTGGTGGTGGGGAGGGAGGGGACCCTGAGACAGTCAGACTGCATTGGGTAAGGATGGGCTCTTGGTAGACACCTCCTGGGACACATGTCACTCTAGAAGCTACAGAGTCTGGCACTGGGGTGGAGGGAGCAGGGGCTGGAGAGCAGGTATATGGTGTGCTCATCTGGCGAGAGCCATGGAGGGCGGGGGTCAGCAAGAGGAGCTTCCGAGAGTGAGCATGGGGGTGAAGGAGCCTGGGACCAGGGCCTAGCTCCTTGATGGCCCTGTGACCACCTTTCCCACTTCTTCTTCTTTTTAAATATTTTTTTAGTTTTCAAAGGACCTTTATTTTATTTATTTATAAGTAGTGCTGAGAATCGAACCCAGGGCCGCACACATGCCAGGCAAATGCTCTGCTGCTGAGCCCCAGCCCCAGCCCCACCTTTCCCACTTCTGAGCAATGGTCTAGCAGGACCCTCAGAGGAATAAGGGTTTTGGGTCTAGGACACCTTGTCCCAGTCCTTGGGTGTCCTTGGGTTTGCCCAGCTGCCTTGGTGGACAGGCTCATTACCTCCAGGGTATGCCAAGCCTGGTAGGGAGCTGCCCATTTCCAAGAATTCCCAGGTTTATGTCACATGAGTCCAGGGTAGGGCTTATCACCAGCAGCACCATCATCACCACCACCATCCTCCTCACCACCAAAGACATCGTCACCATGTTCACCATCATCACCACCACTGCCACCGTCATTATTACCAGCACCATCATCACCACCCCCACTGCAGCACCATCAGCACCACCACCCCCATCAGCACCATCGGCACCACCACTGCCACCATCATTATTTATTTTTGCATTCTCGTTTTCTTTTTTTTAGATTTTTAAATTTGTTGTAATTAGTTATATGTGACAGTAGAATGCATTTATGCAATTTGATATATCACACATAGATGGCACATGATTTCATTTTTCTGAGTGTACATGTTGCAGAATCACACTGGTCCTGCAGTCACATATATACATACAGTAATAATGTCTGTTTCATTCTCCTATCTTCCCTATCCCCACATCCCCTCCCCTCCCCTCCCATCACTTCCCTCTACCTAATCTAAGGTAATGCTATTCTTCCCTAGTGCCCCCTCACACCCGGCCTTATCGTGAATTAGCACCCACATATTAGAGAAAACATTTGGCCTTCGATTTTACGGGATTGGCTTCTGTCGCTTAGCATGATATTCTCCAACTCCAACCATTTACTGGCAAATACCATAATTTCACTCTTCTTTAAAGCTGAGTACTATTCCATTGATTATATATACCACATTCTCTTTATCTATTCATCTATTGAGGGACATCTAAGTTGGTTCCATAGTCTAGCTATTGTGAATTGAGCTGTTATAAACATCGATGTGACTATGTCACTATAGTATGCTGATTTTAACTCATTTGGGTATAAAACAAGGAGAGGGATAGCTAGGTCAAACGGAGGTTCCATTCCCAGTTTTCTGAGCAATCTCCATACTGCTTTCCATAGTGGTTGCACCAATTTGCAGTCCCACCACCAGTGTATGAGTGTGCCTTTTCCCCCACATCCTCACCAACACTTACTGTTGCCTGTATTCTTGATGATTGCCATTCTGACAGGAGTGAGATGAAATCTCAGAGTAGTTTTTTGTTTGCATTTCTCTAATTGCTAGAGATGTTGAACACTTTTTCATATATTTGCTGATCAATTGTATTTCTTCTGTGAAAAGTGTCTGTTCAGTTCCTTAGCCCATTTATTGATTGGGTTATTTTTATGGTATTAATTTTTTTGAGTTCTTTATATGAACTAAGATTAATGCTTTATCGGAGGTGCATGTGGTAAAGATTTTCTCCAAATCTGTAGGCTCTCTCCTCACTTTATTAATTGTTTCCTTTGCTGAGAAGAAGCTTTTTAATTTGAATCCATCCCATTTATTGATTCTTGATTTTACTTCTTGTGCTTTAGGAGTCTTGGGAAGGAAGTCAGATCCTAGGCCGACACCGTGAAGATTTGGGCCTATTTTTTATTATCATCAGCACCATCATCACTGCCTCCCCCATCAGCACCATTATCACCACCACCATCCTCCTCACCACCATAGATATCGTCCCCACGTTCACCACCATCGTCACCACTGCCACCATCATCGTCACCACTGCCACCATCATCATGACCACTGCCACCATCATCATCACCGTCATCATTACCATCAGCACCATCTCCATCACCTTCACCACCACCATCATCCCTGTCACTGAAGATATTGTTACCATCTCCACCACCACTAATAGTAGCATGATCATCGTCCCTATCCTCACCTTTTCAGGGTGGCACAGTAGCTGCCCCTCTCTGAGCTCCCTCTCTGCTTCAGAGGCTGGACTAAGTACGTTTCATACATTTCTTCATTTCACACAGCAGTTCCCAGACTATTGATATCATGGACCAGTAGTACTTAAAAAAACGGGGATTGACGTGAGGCTGTCAACGTTTTACTTTGCCAAGATCATTAAAACCAACCAACCAGAAAGCAAACAGAAGCAAGCAATGAACACTTGAAAAAACAAACAAAAAAAAAAAAAAAGGAAGAAAGGAGGAATAATATTAAAAAGTGCTGGGGAGAGAGAAAAATAAATTGAAATGGTCAGCATTTTATTTTAAAAGGACACTTCTGAGATGACAAAAAGAAGCTGAATCTCAGAAGAAAGGCAGTTTTAACAAATTTTTAAACTTAAATTCCATGCAAAGCCCACTTCACCAGCCCACGCCTCTCACTTGATGTGTAGAGAGCCACGGGTGGGCACGGAGAGCCACGGGTGGGCACGGAGAGCCTCTGATTGAATCTCCCACCGACATGATGGAGACGTACTTTCATTAGCAGCCCCATTTGGTGATGGTTGTGGTGGGGACATCGAGGTTCAGAAACACCTTGGCATCGACTCCTAGTCTCACATACATTAAGAGGCGGTGCCAAGGTCCCCCTGAGCCTCCCTGCCTCCAAGCTTGGCTGGGAGCCAGGTCAACGTTGCGATCACATGCCAAAGGTCCCATCTTCCCTCCGGGAACCGCGTGTGCCTGACTCACAGCTGGGGGGTGCACCAGGTTTGCTTTGGCTCTGCAGGGTTATCCAGAACCTTCTGGCTGCCCAATCCCCCATCTCCGCCAGCAGCTGCCGCTCTCATCTGTCCCTGGCTACCATGCACAGAAAGATGACGGGGAGATGGCGGGTGCCCAAACTCTGGCAGATCTGTTTCCTTCTCTCCGCTCACCCTTGACCCCACCCCAGTGTCTGCTCCTGTCTGCTACGCCACCTCCCCAGGCAAGGGACAGTGTTCCCGGGAAAGCGACAGGATGACCTGCGAGGGGGATGGAAGGAGAGAGGCTGGAAGGGCTCTCTCTGCTTAGAAATGAATCAGATACTGTGGGAAGCACCAGGAGGAGGCACAGAGATAGAAATGGCTGATAAACATCTGAAAAGATGCCCAGCGCCTGGCATAATGAGAGAAATTAACATAAAAGCAAGACAAGGCTTCGCGTCAGAGTGTCAGTGGTTTTGGGGTACCGTCCCACTCGGTGTCGGCAAGAGCGGGGAGGAGGGAGGCGCATCATCAGGTCTGCTGGTGGCGCTGTAAACTGGTCCGGCCTTTGGGGTCCTAATCTATCACGATTAGGCCATGCAAGGTCCTTGACCCAGGGAGATGGCATTTTAGACGTAATTGCCAGCAACGTGACAGAAAATATGTGCAGGGATGCTCACTGAGGTGTTGTAATCGCAGAGGTAAACAAAGGACAGCGGGAAGCAACCCGAACGTCCATCAGAAGGATTGGATCAATGAATGATGTTGCAGCCCCGGAATGAATGGGCACCTGTAGGGGGTGAGGTGGGAAGGTCCCCAAGACACCAAGAGCATGGCCAGAAGTCCAGCGAGGAAGTGCAGGGGGAGGTACTCAGAATGCGAGGTCACAAGAGGCGAAGTAATGTCATGCTGACTGTTAGGAGCTAGAATAATAAGGCAGCCTTCTAAAACGCTATTTAGAGACACAGGCGACCGAATCTTTAGTTTAATGCTTGGGATCATGCCAACTCATCCCATAAAAATAATTTAAATTTGTTCACTCCATCACAAAAGAGCCAAAGAATATTGAGATGACATGCTACAACTTGGGTAAATTAAAATAGTACATTTATTCGTGTGTGTGTACACAAACACGTGTGAAAATGCACACATACAATCACACGAACATACTGGTATCTGCATAGGATTTTCTTTTCTTTTTTTTTTTTTTTTCTTTCAAGATGGATACTCCAGAATGTATTATCTCCCTTTTGGGAGAGGTATCCCGGATGGGGAGGGAGGGAAGCTTCGACTTTTCGATTTTACGTCTTTCTATGCCATTAAAGTTTTCTTTACTGTCGACGTATATTGCTTTTATTTTAAAAATAAAATTTAAAAAATGCACTTTGTGCATATAATTTAAGTATACATTATAAAACGGGCACCAGGGACTCATTGGATATGGATTTGTTTGCTGATGTTAGTGATGC